GTTGCTGATAGGGGTCCACTGGTTGATGGCAGAAATCCAGTTGTTTTGCAGTTGTTGTCAGTTAACCTAGAAATTATACAAGGAAGTTCAAAATTGGGTATCCACAGTGGTCTAAGGGAAACAGGTGGAAAAGAAAGGGGTCGCCAACAGTTGCATGTTTTCATTTACCCTCCTGCTTTACGCAGCAGATAAGATCCTTTTGTAGGCACGAGATGGCCGGTGCAGATAGTATATAATCTCTGATAACATGGTCATGGTTGTACTTGGGTTAGTACACTACCAGTATCTGACCCATCAGATTGACAGATCTAAATACGCGTGTTATGTTCAGTAGTCGCTGCCTTCTCAGTTTAGCTCATGTCTGATGGGGACACCGCGTGATCCATAAGCGTGTTTGGCGTCGTGTATTTGCTGCAGCACGAGCGAGTGAACTACTCAGCACTGTTTATCACGCAACATTCTCCATTGACTGGGCAACGTGTTGCGGTTGCCAGCACACCAACTCCCGCGACGTGCGTAGTTTGAGCGCCGGAGGCGTGGACTGAAGCAAAGGAGAGGAGGCCAAACCGATGATTTGGTTAAGAGGAATGAAGTCCCTCACTTCGAAGTTAGCATCGGTTGATACCTCCCGACTGCCACGCCTGGGTCGCAAGGACGATAAACACGTTTGGCTGGATACGCTAGTTGACAGCGCGAGGAACCGACCTCAGTGGCGTTTGTGTTATGATTGTCTTTGTCCTTACTTATCCCGTTTAGCTTCCATCCAACTACCATCTCACACTCCAAGCATTGTATTTCTTGTTTCTATAGTTTTTGCATTCTATGATATTTAGTAGATCGCTTTTTTCATATATCTTGTCTCATTGCGGTACCATAGCTGAAGTGTGTCTCTCTCCTTCAGTTAACGTGTAATGATGTTGATGTCCAAACCTAGGTATGTGAAAGACCAAGGTAACATAAAAGATCCTTTCACTCAAAGCATCATGATCACCATCAGCACGTCAGCCATTTTAACTGATGCTTCCCAACCATACAATCATAACGACCTACGGAACGAGGAGTAATAACATAGATAGAAGAGTCAAGGTGTCTACACCTTGCCTCAACAAACTACCCTCACAAACAGCTGGCTATCATGCTAAAATAATTCGGCATCGGCGAGACAACTTACTTGTGGCTTTCACTGTCTCGCGTCATAATCAGCCATTACATCGAAAATAACTCAGCACCAAACACACTTCAAACAGACAGTCTAAGTATGAGACGACAGCGGACGCATCACTGGTGCCGGCTACAAACCATATCCTGTAACTTCTCGAGTCAAGGAAAAGACGGGTCACGTGGACTCCAGTCTGAAAGGCAAAACGGACCAACCGCACGGAGCTTGGATATCAGTGACTTCATTTCCCGCTGCCAAATTAATTTTTGCCCACCACGGGCCTTGCGCCGCCTTCTATCTGGCAAACAAAACAAGATCCTCCGCAATGAGCGGTGAGCAGGCACACGGATACGTGCCCCAAGTCAACGTAACTTAGTCAGTGAATTCTGCTGTTCCAGGAAACGAGCATTATTATCAGTGTCTAGCACTCGCCTACACACACGCTTGTACGGACACGCTGGTACCATCAGAGAGCAGCAGTGCTTCGCAAACAATGATGATCAACGGCTCGAAGGAGTTACAGAGCCTCAGATGGAGTCTCACTATCATGGAGTTGGACGGCCCTCATAGTGGCCTGGTAAACAGGGCCTTTCGAACCGGCGCAAACTCCCTACGAGCGACAAATACATCACAAAGTCAAGAAAGCAGTTCTAGCTTTTGCAATATGTGCATTTACTTCCGTGCTTATGCGCCCATCATTGCTGATGCAGCTGATAAGGTATGTGAAGTGATCAACTACCTCGAGTTATTCGCCATCAAGGGTAAAGAGGTAATCCAGTCCTGCAATAACACTTCACTTTGAATGTGCGATGCGCATGCCATCGCATGCCATCATGCATGTGCATGATGGGACCACTCTAGAGCGGTTATTCAGGGTTGCTTGGGCTGCCATGACATCGTTTCACAGCAAGAAAATATAGTCCGCGTAATCAATTCAACTGGTTTTTCACCAGGCAGCACCTCAATACATGCATCGCGAGATTCCGCTTGGGAACTCTCCATGATGCAGTTCACGACGAAGTTGAACAAAATGGGGAAATTGCCTTAGCCTGACGGTTGGGTAGCGGGGAGATGTTAACAACACGGTTTTACATAAATACACGTCATCCCACTTCCAATCTCCAATCGTGGAGGATCAAGGGACAGAATTTCTCTGACCTCATATACTTGACCAGTCTAGTAAGATTAGTTCTCAGTGTGCACGAGGGCAACACCCAGGATTGTTCTTTGAGCCTAAGAGGTGCACAAGCCGTCGCACCGCCTTAAGCTGCAGTGTCGTCGCTTACTTGCTTACAACCTGTATCTGTCACTGAGGCAGCGCAACGGTTTCCTTGTTCGAGTTTACCACATTCCACTGTTCCTCATGCCATATCAGTTTCGTGTACCCGAGTATTCCCTTTGCTTTGCTGGTTCTCTCTGTTACATCTTTTGCACATTACCCCCTGAATTTGCAGCGCCAATGGCTCGTACATCGATGCAACATCTCTCACAAAGCCATATTACGAAACAGACAATTCATTCGTAGCGTCGCTGCGACAGCTGCTGCTTACTTGGTTGAACCCTTTTTGGAAGCAATGGCAGTTTTGCTTGGTAAGTTGTGTTGCTTCCCCAGTTCTTCACTGCTGTTTATTGTCTCGAACGTACAGCTCACCGCTAATTAGCTTTCTCTTCGCATCCGTGATCGATTAGTCATTTCACACTTTACTGAATCAACTTGTGTTAAGATCGCTGAAGCATGATTGATCCCGTTGTCACGCCCAGTGTCCCCGTAATGACTGTACTCAGCAACAGTAGGCGTAATTGGAGGTAGAGAAAATAACATCTAACATCCAATGGATAACTAAAAGGTGCGGTGATCTCGAATTACCGATCACCGCCGTTTTTCCTATCGCTCAGGATCTCAAAATGCGCTTGACTATTTGCGTAACCCACACCATGATATATGGATATATATATATATATACATATATATATATATATATATATATATATATATATATGGATATATATATATATATGAACAATATACACCAACCAAATTTTGTCTTTCGATCACATCTTTTCTCCTCTGCCACCTGATCTACTGTTTTTGGGATTGTTACGCATCTGGAGCAGCGTTGGTAAACAGCACCTTCCTAGATAGCTAGTTAGCAGGCAACAAAGGGCTTGGCTTAATCAGTCAGGGCGATTCGAAATCTAGTGTTCTCTGCGTCATCACAGGTTCTCGCGAAAAGTGAACCAGCGATATTTGTTGTTGTTTCTTTCCGCCTCCCTCTATATATAAGCAGTGCACAGCAGTCGCCGGCGATCAAAAACTAGCAGTTGTTTAACATTCCCAATGGATATTTGGCTTTTTTTCGCACGCCCTAAATAACATGGAAGTGTTGTTGCTGGAATGGTACCGCTCGAATTCGGGGTAGAGTACCAGAAGAATATCTTTCTGGTGAGTCGATAATTGATTAAATTGATCCCGGAATTGGGCGAGTACTTTACTTGAACATCAAAAAATGCGAATTCATAAACAACCACATCCCTATCCCCCCAATCGCTTCCATCGGTGTGTTAGGTAACCTTTTCGAGCTTTTACACTAGATTATTTGTGCCGGACCTTTCGAGGATTTTCGGGGCTGTAGTCCTTTCAGTTATGGTATTTGTCCTCCGAAACGTTAACTCGGTAGCATGATTCTGGGACATCTGGGCGTCGATCTTGTGTCACTCAAGATTAGTGAAGTTGAATCCGGAGGATGCTCATTCATTGATATGCCTCACACGGCTCTGTGCTGATTCAACGGAACTCTGTTCATCTTCTGCCTCTATCGTTCGCACGGCCAGTATCACTCCATTATCGTCAGGATTCATCCAATCCGCTCACATTTCTTGAAGGCCTGAGAAGCTTAACCGAGACTATCGTGCTAGTCGGAATCTCCAAACACCGGACCCAAGTGCGTTCCTCTTCATTGTCAGTCATTAAACTTGCTTCATCCGGAGATCAGAATGCGGCTGCGTGTGAGGTGTTGCGTTTTGAATATATTGTTTGCATGTATGTTATAAACTGTCAGAAGTTTATGGAATAGACTTGGAGTCATCGAAAACCCCTGGAAATCCAATAGGGGCACAGATATCACTTTTCACAAGTCGATTTGTATGTTTTCTGGGGGTACGCTTTCAATCGCTTGTTTTAGTATAGATTGCTAGTCGAGCTGCTGTTCGAAATACCGGCACTTGCTCTATTGCGCTTGCACTATTGCAAATATTTCGCTGTCTCTTATACGACTTGTAATCGTTAGAAGAGCTGGAGAGGAGGAATTTATCCTACAATTTGCGCCGCGCCGAGCCTTTTCACCGTACTCCTTGTCGAACCAACGCGGCTTGACTGGTTCAGGTTTCCGAAATTTCACTGGTACAAACTGTGAACTCAGTAATGTCACCCCTTCTCTAATAAAAGTCCATGAGTCTTCCACAAATGCAATTTTCAGCAGAGACCAATTTTTTGGCTCGCGTCTTGAGTTAGATCGTCGAGGTCAGTTTTCCTTTAGTTGTAAGCTGGCTCCAGCGGACGGGAATAGGGTAAAGATAAATCCATACTGGCTGTGTGCACTGAACGATCGCTTGCTGCTAGGGGCTCTAGGACCTGAACCTCACACATATGTTGTTCATAGCTTGTTAACACCAAGCCCAGGCACGATGGAGTTGAGCGCGGCGTTATTCGAGTCGGCTGGTATAAGTGTTGCCATGCTCCACTTTCAAGTTCTCGAACTTTGTTTCGACCTTGCAGTGTCCTGGAATAACTTCAACTTCAGGCCAGCGTATCCGAAGACAATTGCAATCACCCATAAGTTGAAAATGGAAACGACTTATGTAACTTCGGAGGTGCGAAAGCCAATCCAAACAACGGCTCAACAGACTGCGATAAAATTCACTGACGAGCAATTCCCCGCGTCTGAGGTGGACCGGGCACCACACCTGCTCACACAGACCATCATGGCTTTTGTGCACGTTCACAACTCTCCCCTACAGGGAGGACCGGGTGTAGAGCAAGACGCCACCGTGTGCAGTCGATAGTCTATCGTAGCGAAAACATGAGTAGCCACTGAGTTCGATTTCCTGGGCTATTACCTCATAGTTCACTCACGTCTCTGCTAGTCCCATTACCTCTGGTCACCGATACATCGAAACGATAGAGTTTATCACGCTTGTTCACAAGACTGTAAATGTTGGTATAGGCTACATGCAGGCCACAGCAGGAATCACCGGGCGTGCTTGAAGTGTGAGCATTCTGTTTCTTCGAATTCGTGGAAGCTTGAAACTACCCGAAAATTTAATATACAGTGTTTCCTTCCCCCATCACCTTTTCCTCTCTTCAGTTCAATGATGGCAGACTTGAGTCGGTTTTATTGTTTATCTTTCTAAGATGGGTAATTCGCTTTACTTTCAACCCGTTCTCATCCACATCGGGGAGTCTGTCAATTCGGCTCTGTAAAAACTCCTTGTATTGATCGTGGCATATCTGAGGGGTTGGATCACTGGACTTAGGCGCGTGAAAGATCACGAGATTAAAGCGCCTCTGATCGGGCAGCATTGGCCTTGCAAGACGAGAATTTTCTCGCACTTTACGTGCTCTGGCCTGTCGTTGATTTACAACGACTAAACTCTTTTCATTCCTCTGCCTTTTCTTTGCTTGTACTTTCCAAGTGTCTTCAGTACACAGGTTTCCACACACTGGGATATCTGTGCCTGTAGAATACAACACAGGTGAAATATTCGCGTCAGATGTACCTGGGTTGCTGGTAACTGTGGGACTTCGTGCCGGTGATTTTGAACGGGACGAGCGGGAAAGCTTATCTCAAACCTGGAGATGCTTCGGGGTAGCTTGTTGGACCGAACACACGGAGCTGCTCTCAATAGAAATATTCACCCTACAAGGCGGTTTGTGATTCTGCTTTACCTCCGGCTGTATCTCGTTTCAGTAATTCTTACACAAAATTTGAACGAAATCATCTTGCACTTCACGAAAACGCCGAAAATGCTCAATCGATAGTCCAATGCATGAAATATGGTATCTAACGTGATACATAACACATGTACTTGTATTTGCTCGACTTTCGACAACCTTGGAACAAGAACCGCAAGGTGGTTGTATCTGCATTATGAAAAATCCTAGACCAAGGTGGCGGCCAATTGTGGAGCACGAAATGAAAGTAAGATCTACGAAATTACAGGCAACAAAAGCATTTCTGGTCGAATAATCCATAATGCTAACTGGAACTAAATACTATTGTAGTTTCTACGTAATAGTTCTTCTGCACTGAGAAAGCTAAAAATGATGTTGTTAACATAGCCAGTAAAATCAACCGGAGGTCGCTAACCGCAGAGACGCTGTGCTACCTGGCCTCCTCCTTCACCGTCGCAGGCCTGGTCCCAAATAGACCACATTGCAATCAGTTACAGGTGGCGTGGTAGCATACAATACTGTAGGTCATTTTGGTCTACCTACCTGGTTTCAGATCACGTAATGGTTTCTGCCAACATTTGCATGCGATTCGAAGGAAATCAGAAATGAAGGCTCTGTAAGCGTGACACGAACAGGCTAGCTGGTCAGTCGGCTCAGCTAGACTATCACCTACCACTGGCAAGCACATTGGCCTGTTTCCTGCCCACTACTATTGAACCCCACTAGAAGTTCTTGCAGCAAGCAATGCTAACTTCATTCCAATCAGTCTGGGTTATCTCATCACCCGTTGAAGGGTTGGATATCAGCGCACTCTGGCACTGTTCGACCGCCGCCGAACTCTCAGTAAATCCAAACTAGAATGAAGTTCGCCGCATTATCAGCTGACAACTCAGACGAGGCCTTCACAACGATCGGAAGTTTGGTGGTCCCAACACGCCTTGGAGATGAAGGTCGCTGCCCTCACGGGAAAAACCCACAAGCTGTTTCTGCTCATTCGGACCACTGTACGTAGGGGATCTGATATGAGTGAGGTCATCTGTGAGGCGGACAGATCGCAGATCACTAGTTTGCAGAGACGCATGGATAAATTGTCTAAGCACATCCAGTCTCAGTTCAGTTGTTCCCTTCCATCTCCCTTTACATTCAATACACCCAGTCGTTTGCCATGGTTAGTACGGCGCAAACCACCAACCAAAGCGGAAGTTTGTCTTAAGATTCGTCACTTATAACGCTTCAAGGCGGCCGGCTCGATGAAGTTCCCCCAGAGTTGTTCAAGTACCGCGGTACAGTAGTCGTCAAGCAACTAACGCCCCTTGTTTCTGAAGATCTCATAGGAAGAAAGGGTTCCCTCTCCTGGGGAGAGTCAATCATTATTCTAACCTTAAAGATAGGCTCTCACACTTCATACGCCAATTATAGGGGCACCACTGTGAAATCTGTTGCATTCATGCTACTAACATCCATATTGCTATCCGGAGAAAGAGGTTGGTTTTTGCCCCGGCCGAGGATGTGTGATCAAATTTTCACTCTTCGCCAACTCCTGGAGCCTAGGCACCTCTACCGCAGACCCACCACCCTCACTTTCCCGGATATTCGAGCTGGGTTCGACTCAGCCTGCTAAATAATGGAGTTCCGGTAAAGTACCTCACTACGCGCGCTATACCGTACTTCAGGCCGAGTGAGAGCTTATGGCACACTTTCCCCACTCTTCCCTGTCACCAGTGGTGTGCCCCAAGGATACCAGTTGTCACCGTTTCTCTTCAACTTTGCGATCGAAGGTGTCTTTTTTGGAGCTTTAAAGAGCCTGCAAAACTTCGACATCGAGCTTCTTCCATGTAATCGCGCGACCGACTTAGACTACACTGATGATATCGCCTTGCTGGGTGACGGCCTTCATGGGATGCAATCGATCATTAACCGATTGATGATTGAAGCGCCTAAGTATGCTATTTGCTTTGCCCCCTCGAAGTACAAAGTTCTTTCACAGAGCAAGCATGCGCTCCTTCCCCAATTCACCATCGAAGGCACGTAACTCGAACACTTAGATAGTTTCGTTTACCCAGGGAGCTGCGTTTCTGCCGATGGGACTATGGTAGCTGAAGCATTCCTTCGTATCGCTGAAGTCCGGTTGGCATTTACTAACCAGACATTCGTGGCGCTGTCGCGACATTTCACTCTCGCTAAAGCGCAGGGTTTACAAAGCCTGTGTACGCGCGGTATTGCTGTACGGATGTGAATCCCGACCGATCCGTGTGCAAGACATGTGTAGTCTTTCGGCCTTTGGCAGTAGCTGTTTGTTGAGGATTACCCGCGTGTGTTGACGACACCGAATGCGGAATGATGACGTTAGAATCCGCGTCTCAGGAGAGGCTGATCTTCCGCTTTGTGATGTCGTCCGGTTGCATCAATTGAGATTGTTTGGCCACGCCCTGCGCATGCCCATCGAGCGTTTACTGCGCTGCGCCTTATCTGCGAACGCAGGACTATTAAGGAAAATGTGACGTGCTCGTTAGAGGCTCAACTGTTGCATTCCGGCGCGACTTAATGCATGGAAGTGCAATGGCATATCTTTGCTGGTGCCTGGTCTGCTGAGGGGATCGGCCGGTGCGAGCTCCCCGGCCTGGGGGCACCAAAATATTAGAACGCCAAGGGGCGGCGGCGAGGGGGGGGGGGGAGGGTATACTTGTTTATGCGCAAAGTGGCTGACACTTAGGGTGTGTTGCGTTCCATAACGCCCTTGGAAGGCGTCCGCTCATCTCGCGTGATCTCCTATGGGAGTGTTCCCCAATCTGGTGGGCTTGCCGTCTGTAGTTTCACGTCGCTCGTGCGGCATGGAACCTGTAAATCTCTGAGGTCATTGCTTTCAACTTTGGGGAAGTCAGCCGAGGGCTGCGCTGTTGGTGTCATC